CGGGAGGCCTGTCGTCAAAAATTGCGATAAAATCATGGAAATATTAGAAACAGACCGTCAAGTGAGTACTTATTTAATTGCTGAGGAACTAACGATAAGCCAGAAAGCGTTTGGAGCCATTTACATAACCTTGCATTCAAAAAGAAGCTCGATGTTTGGGTGCCACATGAACTAATGCAAAAAAACATGATGGACCGAATTTCCGTCTGCGAATGAATCGCAACAAAATCAACCCGTTTCTGAAGCGGATTGTGACTGGCGATGAAAGATGGGTCACTTACGATAACATCGAGCGCAAACGGTCGTGGTCGAAGCTCAGGGAAGCGGCCCAGACGGTGGCCCAGACCGAATTGACAGCCAGGAAGGTTTTGCTGTGTGTTCGGTGGGAAGGCAAAATTCATCCAGAAGAGGCTATCTTCGGTCAACTGAGTCTGAATTGTGTTCCATCAGGACAGCGCCAGGCCACACACGTCTTTGGTGACGCGCCAGAAGCTCCAGGAGCTCGGTTGGGATTTCCTAATGCACCCACCTTATTATCCACCTTATAATCCAGACCTGGCACAAAGTGATTATCATCTTTTTCTGTCCATGGCGAACTCGCTTAATGGTGAGAAGTTGAATGTCATGGCTGTATCGTGAATACATGGTATGGAGCCCAACAAGAGCAAACTCACCCATGAAATCTAAGCAGCAAAAGTAATGATGTCAGTTTACTTCACGCGATCTAAAATCCTCTTCCACTGGAAAAGGGTCAGAATAGGTTGACTTGAAGTTTTGTACTTTGATAACGTTTTGCCTGTATTTTTAGAAAGTGGATTAACCAATCGATGAAAGTTTTTATGATGTTAGTATACAGTGGCTGAAGTCCGTTGTGACCTTAACGCAACAGGTGTATCATAATACAGATAGCCACACCAACGTGTGCCCGGGTCTGCAAGTTAATCATAATTATTTATAAAACTAAGATTGTAAAATTGAATGTTTGTATGACATGGGAACAGGTTTTTCTGAACGTTATTTTTAAAATATTTACTTGGGCTCATTCAACAATTTCATTTCAACTTCCACTGTGTTGATCCTTGGATACCTTGGGGTCAGAAAAAAGTCGTTTGATTTCGGTGTTTTTTTTTTTATTGCAAAAGTTTAAAAAAACTACTTACTACAATTTCTGGCGTTTCTTGTTCTCAACGTAATGCGCTTTATTAAGTTAGAGTAAGAACTCGTAAAGCGTCACATCATGATAATGGAAGAACACTGTGTACAGAAGTTTAACATCTCGATATTAGATTAACTCTTTAGGGTTCTTTCAATGGCGCAATTGTACTTTGTTAACACAACACCAGTTTTACTCTTTTGAACAATTCAACAATTTCTTTTTGAACGTTTTCTTTTACAAATTTCATGTCCACACTTTCCGAAAAAAGTGCGAGGGATAAGCAAACCGACCTCATGTGAAAAGTTTGTACTGCTTCTTGGAATTTACTTAACTTAAATTACGCTCACCATATCCCACTGTGGCGTATCAAGGATTTAGAGTACTTCATTTAATTATTGACTGAAAATTTAGTGCGTAAAAAGTTAGAGAAAGTCGTTTAAGAAAGTGTAGGGGCTAAAGCGACTACTTCAATTTGCGAAACGAACAGCGTGAAACAATAAAGAGTGAGATATTGCATGATCTGTAAAAGCTATGAAAAGGAGGAAACGACTCTCATTTTTGTGCTTTCGATAATGTTGGGATTATTTTTTGTATTTCGTTTTTTTTTTAATCTCTCCAGGCCCATGGTAGATGGCCAGATCAAATTATTTAACGAAACTCTTTAGAATATAAGATTTACAGTGCAACCGAGTTATCAGGAAAACGAAGTAGTCTAATAATAGCCTAAGTATACCGATGTTCATACTTTGGGAGTCACTGCTACCTGCTTATCTAACAATAAGATTGGCTCTCTCGATCCAATATAAATATGCTCCCATCCTATCCAAGCTTAAGGATACCCGCGAAGTAAATGTTCAAAATAATTGTAAAACAAAATATTTGTCACAGAGTGTAATTATGCATAAAACCGTGACAGTGTGAATGTTCCCAAGACGACATAAAAGCGCATTCACTAAATTTATGACTCAGGCAATAAACGAATAAGAATATTAATGAGTTAGAAAACAATATTCAACAGATTTAGAAGCAATAAAAGTATTGTAGTTAGTTCCATTTTAAGTAGGCAAAATAATTATTGATTTAGAGCAAAAACAGAAGAAGGTAATGGAAGGAGTTTAAGCGGCATTAACAAAGGAAATCACCAGGTACGCATTCGTACATACATATGTACATGTATTGAATATGATTTTCCCATTTTCATAGCCGACTTCATTGTAAAGGCAGGGAACATTACTTTTGGAACATTAGTTTTGTTCAGTTGTTGACTAAAGAATGATTTTTAGAAACCTTATTTCTTGGCAACATTGTTTTTTGACAGCTTACGCGGCATTTGTGTCTATGCCACTGTTAACAGTGTTCAGTTTGGTCTATAATTTAACGATGAATTTTTTTACAGCGAACAACTCATTGAGTTTAACTATCAAAATTCAAGCTTGATTAAGAAAGTGTATCGTGCATTTCCTCCTTTCTATAAACAGTTTGGGTGGCCTTTTCGAAATCTTGTGACGAAATTTCGCACCAAATTTAGGTGACGGTGCGCTAAGCCACCACCAATGTTCATACATAGAAAGCGGATAATTGAAGATTCTATCAACCTTATTCTCTTTTTGGTATGGCTCTTGTCTCTTTATCGCTTACAAGTGGAATATAGCCACGAATGAAAACTGATCAGGAGATCAAAACCGGAAACAGACGATAAGTGTTTCTACTTTGGAGGCTGCACAATGGTGCGGGTAGTGGAAAATCTCACAGCCGTACCGCCAGTGATAGATAGTTTTGTGGAAAAATTTGAGCGTGAAGCCTTTTTGAAATATGTACAGCTGGTGCAAGGATTGAAGCCGCACGTCATACCACAGGGACTAACTTTTAGTGAATGACCGCTTGCGAAGTGGAATGAATATCCCAATTTTATCGAATAATTGCTAAATTTGGTCTGAAGAGCAACCAGAAGCATTGCAAGAACTACCGAAGCATACCGGATAGCCACTGTGAATGCTGAGCCATATGTGGTTTTAACCAGATAGTGCCACATGCCATACGGCACGCAGCACAAAATAATGACTCAATGCAGAGGCAAGTCGAATGAGCAGTGTTTATTTCACCGCATAGGTTGTTTGATTTAACACTAAGTTAGGGGTGGTGTCTATAACGACAAATCCGAAACGATCGCCCATTCTGAAAGCCAACATTGAAGAGTTTACTCGGGAGACACATACCGATATGTTGTAGAATCCTCGGTCGCGGTAGCCGAGCGGTTAGCATTGTCTTCTGCCATTCAGAGAGCCATAGTTCAAAATCCAAAAGTTATAGAAAATTGATTTAAATAAAAAATTAAGTTGAATTTTCTAATAGTCGTCGCACCTCGGCAGTAAATGTCAACCCCTCCTACTGTATTTCTGACATGAAATAAAAGCTCCTCATAAAAAAACATCAGCCGTTCGGAGGAGGAGGTCCCTCCATTTCTTGGGAAAACATCAAGACTGAAAACCACAAATTGGAGGAGGAGCTCGGTCGAAAATCGCTTCAGCTATTACAAAAGCGCCAATCATTATTATCATTATATAGAGTATGTTGAGCTGGGTGATTGTTCAGTCGATGCAATTACCGATTTTATATATGTATTACATATATACATATTTTTCTCAATTTGCTTTTATTTTGTTTTATTTTTGTTTTGAGAGCCGAATTCGAAATATCTTAAAGAATAACCTCTTATATATGAGCATGACACACATTTTTTTTTAAAGAAAATCGGTAAAATTAGACAAATGATCATCTCCCTCAAAACGATATTTTTGAAGAGAATTCGTAAAAGTCGCGTTTGGTTATGATTGATTATAAAACTACGTCGCATGCTCTATAAAACTTGGTGGCTACCTTTCATTAGTATTTTGAAAATAAGCATTGAATATGAAATGAATATTGAATATCTGTAAATTTAAATATGATTAAAGCAGACTTGCCTATTTAGCTGCTCTAGATTACGCCAGGTTAGTTTATTTCACAAATTTGTTCATGAAAATTGGTTTGATCTTTCTACTCGACATTCTGTTTGAAGTGTCTGCGCTAGCCAGAATACCATAGAGCTATTTACAAACAAACATAATAAACCCTATACCATTCAGTTTGAAGTAAGTGAGAGGCCGCAGTGACCGAGTTCTCAACAAGACGTACTATCATGTGAAAAGTCGTGGGCTCGAATCCTCGCCAATGGTACTTCTGATATTAAATAAAATCAATTCTCCGATTATAAAGCGAAAAATTTGTTTGTAGTGTAAAAACCTTCTGTTGAGCACTAAATTTTGAGTCCCTCAATTTCTGTTGATTATCGAAATGAAAAACCAGATCGGCTTCAATCACACCTAGCCTTCCTTATTGGTTTTCTTGAATGAAGTTAAAGCTTGAAACCTTCGTGACTTTTGCCATATTTTGCATATGAATACATTTTTTGTACTCAAATTTCGATGAAGCATTGTTTACAATACGAGCAACGTTATCGGCTTGTGCACCGAGTGCCCAATTTGTAAGGCACAAACAGAATAGGAACAGAGAAGGGGGCGGGGGAAATATGAAAAATGAATGAGTGACAGGTTCACTTTGCTACCTATTGACCTTGAAATTAGCATGCAAAACCAATAAGCATCGTGCCAAGCTTCACGTTGTCGATAGAACAAAGTTTTGATGAGAAAATGTCTATACTTTCCCTAAATATTATCACATACATACATATGTATTGTAAATATGTAGAGTTACTGGCACATTTGCATTTATAAACTAAAATAGACAATTTTGTTTACTTTAATTTCTTTTCCATTTCTTTTTTGGCAATCATCAAAATAAATAGTCAAAGGCAAGGAGTGTAACAATCACGATGACTGTGTAACGATAGATAAAACTAGCTGCGTCAAGGATCCAATCGATTACAAGCATCGCTGCCTGTGCGGTGATGATTCGGCACCAGTAAATGGACATTGTCAGGATGTACTAAAAGGTGAGTTGATTTCATTATGTTTGTACGTAAACGAAATATACATATCAATATACAGATATACACTTAATATTAAAGATGCCATACCATAAACCCGAAAACTGTTACCACAATCACTGCCGTAATTATATGTAGTGTAATCGATTATTGGTACCGTGGTCATAAACGGCGACTAACAGGCCGAAAAATGTACTTTGGTATTAAAATTTACCATTCAGTGAATTTTGTTACTATTTCGTATTCTGAGTTCACTGTCACCTTGTTAATTTTGTTACCAGTGAAATAAGAGGTATGAAAAAATTTACTGTTTGATTTTGTGTTGTTAGTTTGAGAAAAAATAAAAACCAAAATGGGTAGGTATATTTTAGGCCTGGGATTAATTGAAGATGAAGAAAAAAGTGGAAAATGGCGTATGCTTAGCAATTTGCGAGAAATAAATGACGCTTTTAATTTGGAAGATAGCGTTTTCAATCAGCTTTTTTCCGCTTGGGCATATTTTCCAAAATAAGTTTCAAATATTTATGATTTAATAAAGAAATAAAAAAACTTATTGATTTTGTTATGCACCGTCTTCCATTTCGATGTGAATATTTTTCTTTTTACTTTTTCAACTGGCAAATGTAATTTGACAAGCGCGAAAAAGGCAGTGCTGCCAAAGTTTGTTCAAACATTGTAACCAGTGCGCCAGAATACCAAATTCAATTTCGGGTGCTAAAAAAAGTAACAAAATTTACTTTACCGGGAACAGTGAGAAAAGGCCTGTAAAGCGATTAATTTTCTCTAAAAATAAAACGTATTATGCCAAAGAACTTATAATAAAAAAGCAAGGAATAATGTTTTTAAAAGTGCTTAATTTTCTTAAAACCTTAAAAAAAATTTAAATTTATTTTTTGGATTTAAGAAAAATTTTAATTTCATTAAAAATTGTTAAAAATATTATTTCTAAAAAAAATTTTTGTTTTATGTTCTAAATAACATTGAAGATAAAAAATTAAAAGAGGATTTATTTAGATATATGTATTTGCAGTGCACTTGCAGCTCTTTCGAGAAAATAATTACACGACCTACGATTTCTTGTATTAAGCAGAGAATCACTTGTCTGCTTCCGTTAACGAAATTAATGTCCCAGTGGCATGTTGAATTTAATTCGTTAAATTTTTCAAAAGTGGTTTTGGTGTTAGCACCTTTTCATTTTTAGAATGTAACGATTTTCCTTAAAACGCCTCGACAATTTCCCAAATCCTTCGAATTTAATCAGTAGGTTCTTCAACAAAGGTCCTAAGATTTTTTTTACTATTTCTATTTGTAAGGATCTTATTCTTTATCTATTTCTCAATGACTAACAATTTAGTTACTACACACGACGACCTATTTTATAGGTCTAACACTACTGTTTCAACAAAGTTTTATTCCCCTATAAACTCGTAGTCTACTAACTGTTCAACTCTTTGTAAACAGACAGTTTATTCCGATGTACTCTATTCATTTTATTATATTATTATTCATCTATAAAAGTTTACTTTGTAACTGCCTAGTGCTGTGTTGGCTGTTCTCTTTTATAGCCCACTGACTGCTCGTGCGCAGCTCTGGAAATTTGTGTCAATTTCCAAATCATAGTCTGTACTCACGTTCTAGGATGTGCTTTAGTTAGCGGCCTCTCCCTTTCACCTGTTATTGGTATTTTCCATCTTCGCCAATGCACCCGCTTTAATTGGATGACTTAACTTGATGTCTGCTAATTTATACCAATCATTTACGAAATCAGCTCCTATATAACGGAACGCACTGCTGTCTAAGGCAGCCCAAGGCTGGCAATTTTCTTGCTCTTGATCGTTCTTTCAGCTTCCACAGCATCTGTGCTATCAAGCAGTAATCTGTTAAGGCTCCTACAGCCTTAGAAAAGTGCTCCATTTTAACTGAATATATTTTGCGTGCGGCGGCCGCGGTAACCGAGTGGTTAGCTTTGCGTACTGACAGTTGGAAGTTCATATCCCGGTGCTACCAACATCCAAAAGTTGCGGAAAATTAATTTAAATAAAAAATTAAGTTAACTTTTCTAATCGCAGCAGCACCTCGGCAGGAGGAGCTCGGCCGAAAAGTCGCGTCCGCGGTTACCAAGCGCCAAGTATGCCTGGAAAAATTTCACGTAGTAAGTGGTAGTAGTGTAATGTGATTTCAATTCAATTCGGCCTGCTCATATGTTACGTCTTGAAGTATGAGTTTGCATGTAGCAAAAGGCAGATTCATGCTTCCTTTCATTACTATTGCCCTCTATGTCCCTGTGACCAGATATCCAAACGAGAGACTATCTGTTCTGTTTCGGTGTAAACAAAGATAGTGACTTTAGTTTCAAAGTACTTTGCTGCCATTTCAAATTGAAGTTCACTGCAATGATCGGGTAACCTAAAAGAGTACTTTTAAAATTGTTATCTTGAGAAGACACCTACTACAATTATACCATCATATTTCAATCTGAAGTATCGAATTATTGTTCTATTCCTTCCTATTGGGAATTTTCTTTTGCAACAAGCATTTGTTACTTCTGAAAGAGTTAAGGACGATAACGTTTACATTCAACGATTTTTCATTTTCGGCAGGTATTTCTCTCAGGCATTTCTCGCAGGTCATTAAGTGTCATGGCAAGATTTCGAGGATCAAATTTAATGTCTCATTTGGAGTGTTGTTGAGCGCACCAACTATGCTAAATATCGTAGACCGCCTTACTGCAACCCCCTCCCCAAGTATAAATCTCACAACAGATGCAAAGATCCAGTGCGTTAGCTTTTAATTACTAATTTCTCACGAATGGATCTTTAAAATGTATAGTGCGTGATGAAGGTCTTCACATATCTACCTACTGTATTGGCTTTCCAGTTCTACTTCTTGTGTAGAACTACGCCAGAGGCTTAGTTAACCCCATTTAAAGTTTAATTATATTTCCACTGATATTGTCCTTATTGCCCTTAAAAGCTTATTTTCATATGGTCCGGATAATATCGCAACCAGTGTACCTAAAGTGTTTACAAAACGCATTCCCCTCTTTGTGGAAAGAGTCATATAATTTACCCCTACATAAATGTGATAGTAGATCTTCTATAAAGAATGACCGAGGGATTGCAAAGTTATGTTCTGTCCCAAAAATTTTCGAAGCAGTTAAAGCAGATCAATTAGCCTATTCTGTATTCTTAATTATTGACATTCCACAACACGAGCTTTGTAAAGATCAGTCTACCCTATTAAATCAACTATAAATAACCAAAGACGGAAACCCTTTGCCGAGTAGAGGCCACCACCTCATTTCCTAGTTGGAAACAATGGACGGAAGGCGGACCCATCGATAACAGTAAGATATCCATATCGATATTGACGGTTGTAAATGCCAGACAAATAATTTAGTTAGATGGTGTAATGCGAACTATGCAAAGTAAATACGTCCCTTAACTCCAATAAATGCGTGTATATGTATGTGTTTCTTCAAAAAATCTTTTCATAAGGCACCTTAGCTTTCATCAAATATTGCGCTAAGGAGTTGAAGGACCACTTACATTAGCAATTTTGGAATAAGTCTGGCTCAGTTGTATTGAATCGATACTATTAATTGCATGATGCGGGATTGCTGGGATGCGAACAAGAACCTGCTATCTTCTAAAGTCGTCTACGGCTCATTAGTCTGCTTACACTTAATGGTGAAGTTTTATTTTACACTGAATTGATAAGAGATGCATCAATAGCCCATTCCTAATTAGCGAGCTCAACTTTATTATCCCTTAAGATCATCTAGACACTTTATGCTTTTTTCATTGTGGTCATGCAAAACAACCATTGAAATGCAGGACCCTTTTAGTAGCTTTTGCCACGATTATTATACTTATTTCGCCAGCATTGATCCTCTGACTCTGTTTTCTGTATCAAAACTTATTGTACTAAGATATTTAAATAATTAAGGGGCACACCTAGTGTAATGGACTAAAAAAAGGTGATTTTTGGGAATTTTTATTACTTTATCAATTATTTCAAAATTTTAAGAATATATTTATACATCTTTTAAGAATATACCGTGAAATTTTCGAAGCAAAAAATAAAAAATTTTTAAGTTATAGTCGATCTCCAATGGCGCGGAAAAAAGGTCCTTCACTGCTGCAGTGATTCCGGCCTTCTTTGTGGATGAAATCTAAAAAAAAATCTCGTTAAACTAGATAACATTGTCTGTACAATGACCTACGATAAAAAAAAATCATAAATTGACAAAATAGTCGAATTTTACTCAAAATTTTCGTCGTTTCTGGCCTGCCAAAATTCGATTTTTTGATTTTTTTTTTTTGAAATTTCAAACTGTTTGTGTTCTTTAAGTAATTTCGTTCAACTTTTGCCATGAAATTTATAGCAGCTGATGAGCAGATACGAAGTGTGTTCAAAAAATATCGCGAATTTTGTATTTTTTCAAAAATTACTTATTTATTCATGAATATCTATTTTGTCTCCTTCAAAGTAATCCCCATGAGATTTTATACACTTGCGTCAACGGTTTTTCCAATCTTCGAAGCACTTCAAAAAATCATTTTTTTTTTATCTTGTTCAGCTCCTCCTTCGATGCCGTCTTTATCTCGTCAATCGTAGCGTAACGTCGCCCTTTCATGGGCCTCTTCAGTTTAGGTAACAATAAAAAGTCACAGGGAGCCAGATCTGAGGAATACGGTGGCTGCGGCATCATTAGTGTGTTGTTTTTGGCCGAAAAGTCGCGCACAAGCAACGATGCGTGAGCAGGGGCGTTATCGTGGTGCAAAAGCCAATTTTTGTTCTTCCACAAATCCGGGCGTTTCTGCTTCTCACAAATTGCGCATAACTTGCAGGTAATATTCCTTATTGACCGTTCTATCCTGTGGCAAGAACTCATGATGCACCACTCCCCCGCAATTAATATTTTCGTCTGGCACGATCTTCGTCGTTCACATCTTCTCGGCCTTCTGAGAACATTTTGTACCACCGATAAACGTAGCTTCGGT